TGTCATGATTTGGGGTATGCACACACATATGCCTAGCATGTTTTTTCAAGATGGTAGGGACAGGATTTGAACTGCACACACAGCCATGTGGGAACCTGCTCCCTTAACCACTAGACCATGGAGCCAGCCCAATATAAAAGCCTGTTTTAACATGTAACTTCACTTAGAACCTCTTATAAAATTATTCACTTTTACTTCAACACTTCACAATTAAAATTTTGATGACACAATCAACATCTTTTTAATCCTGTGTATTCCTTAACAAATTATTCTAGCTAATATTATTTCTAATACTTTTGTTCTTCATACTAAAGACATAAATCATTTACTCCACAATTACAATATTATGCTATTCTGAATTTGTGTAGTTACTTTACCTGTGAATTTTTTACTTTCATGTTTTTATGTTACTATTAGTATTGTTTTCTTTCACTTAGAAAAACTCTCTTTAGCAGTTTTTTTTTCCCTTCAGTATTTTGAATATATTATCACACTCTCTTTTTGTTTTTTGGACAGACTTTTTGTATAGGTCAGAAAGCTACAGAGACAGAAAGCCAGAAATCACCCCCCACGGGGGATGGCCATGCTACAATCCCACTTCCCCCTCCATTGTCCTCTGGGGATCCTGTGCATGCATGCACACATGCCCAGCATGAGTTTAAGCCACCTGGTCCAGGACTCAAACTGCGGTCAGCTACATGGGAGTCCAGTGACATAGCCATTACTCCAAATGCTGGTCCCTATCCCAGTCTCTTCTCATATGATATCTTCACCAAGCTTCATTAGAACTCCGTTATTCGATACATTCTTCTTTTCTTTGCTGCTTTCAGGATCATGTCTTATTTAAAATTTGACAGCCTTATAATATGTCTTATGGTAGTTTTGTTTGGATTGAATCTTATTTAAGCCCTTTGATCTTTCTGAAGTGGCTTATTTTTTTGGGGGGGAGGTGGTATTTTTGGTATAGGGCACATGCATTCACCAGAAAGACAGAGAGACAGAAAGCAAGAAAGGGAGAAATCACCTTCCGGGAGGAATGGCCACACCACATTTGCATCTCCTCCATGCTCCTCTCTGGATCTTGGGCACACACGTACATGTACCTGGCATGAGTTTTATTTTTTATATATATTTTTTTTGAGAGAGAGATTTTTGCTATAGGGCGCATGTGCTCACCAGACAGAGACAGAAAGACAGAAAGCGAAAAATTGTCCCCCATGGGGGATGGCCATGCCGCAATCCCTTCTCCTCCATTTTGCTCCCCCCGCCCACATGCCCTGCATGAGCCACCGGGTCTGAGAGGTGAACCGTGGTCGACTACATGGGAGTCCAGTGACACAGCCATTAAGTTAACTGCTGGTCTCAGCCTGGCATGAATTTTAGGCAGCCAAGTCTAGGACTTGAACTTTGGCCGACTACGCGAGAGTCCAGTAACATAACAATTATGCCTTCTGCTTGTTCCTGTACTGGCATATTTATCTTTCCCAAGATTAGGAATATTATATGCTATTATTTCTTTAATATGTTTTTGTTTTTTACTATAGGGTGTGTACACTCACCAGAGAAAGAGAGAGACAGAAAGTGAGACATAACCCCTCAGGGGATCTGGTCATGCTTTTGTCCCTTCTTATATATTCTCCTCTTGGGAATTCAGGCATGCACCACAAACCCAGTGTGTTTTTCAAAGTACTGGGTTCAGGACTTGAACTGCACAGTTGGTCATGTGGTATCTAGTTACTTTAATTCCATGCCATCTGTCAGCCTTCCTTAATAAGATTTTTACCCCTTATCTTTCCACTCCCCTTCCTAAACTCTGATGACTCAAACATTCGTTTTTCTGATGCTGTCTCAAAAATTCAATAATCTTTATTTCTTTTTATTCAATTTTCTCATCTGATTGTATATTTTCAAATAATCTGCCCTATAGTTTGTTATTTCTTTTGCTTGATTAGACTCTAGTCATGCCATTTTTCAGCTCCAGGATTATCATTTAGATTTATTTTTTATCTTTCTTTCCTTTTTTGATTATTTATTTTCTTGATTTCCTTGTATCATTTCTCTGTATTTTCTTGAAGTTTGCAGAGCTTATTTATAACAGTCATTTTGAATTCTTCACTAGTCAGTAAGTATATCTCTATTTTAAGTCAGTTCCTAGAATACTATTATGTATTTTTGGTGATATTATATCTCCTTAGTTTTCATGTTTTTCTTTCTTATTTTTCTTAAGAGGCTTTTGTCTTAGGATATGTGCATTTCCCAGAGAAAGAGACATGGAGATAATTAGAGGGAAAGTGAAAAATTACCCCCCAAAGCAGAGGCCATGATGCAATCTCTTCTCCATTTTTTGTCCAAAATCTTGGTATTCATGCAAACCCATCTGTCGTGATATTCAAAGCATTGGGTCTGGGACTAGAATAACGGTTGGCCATGTGAGAGTACAACTTAACCACTATGCCATCTGCTGGCCTCAGTCTTCATGTTTTTCTTACCTTACATCTGTGCATTTGAAGAAATACTTATTCCAGCCTTTGCACATTGGCTTTGTCTGTGAGTTCCCTTTTTTGGTGAGCTCATCCAGACATTCTGGTCAGGAAGCTGCTGGAGTCCTAAGAAAAGCTGGCTAGTGTCTGTGTCATCAGGTGTCTGGGCCTGTCAGCACAGTCGTCAGGATTGGACCTGGAGGCTAAATTCAGCACGGTGGATATTCTGATTAAGTTTTTGAAGACTGGCCTGTAACCTATGTCCAGGTGATTAGCAAGGGGTAGCAATTAAGCCTGAGTCTACACAGGCAGCAAAGTATTGAACTGATTCTTGTCCACTGTGACAGGCCTGCAGCTTCAGTCTCAGGGGAGGTCTTTGGGTCCTGGCTCAATAGGGGCTTATTTGGAGTCTGGATCTGTTGAGGCTGTCTTGGTGCCTGGCATTACAGAGGTTTACCTGGAACTTAAAGCCGTTGGAACTGGCCTGATGACTAGTAATTAAGCCAGCAAGTATACTGGGTTTATGGGTCCTGCAGGAAGCAAGGCCTATGGACCACAGAGATGGCCCCAGAGCCTGAGTCCATGGTTGTTGGTCCACTACTAAATTCTACTAGGACTAGCCTGAACTCTGGATCTGAAAGTGTGGGGCCCATAGGGGCCAGCCAGGAGGATACAGCCTCGAAGACTGACCTTGCATTTGGCAGAACTGGATCTTATACCTATGGGAGCAGGCTTGGTGTTGGAGGCCAAGAGTATTGATATGGCATGGAAATGGGTCTTTAACCTGGGGCTGTGTGCGTCAGTGTGTGCTGGACTAGTGATTAGCTTCTTGGACCATTCTGGAGCCTGGAGCCAGTGTAGCTGGCCCAGTGCTGAGGATAACCTGGAGCCTAGATACACCAAGGTTGGTTCAAAGACTTATCCCCAAACAGGGCTGTAACCTGGGACTATGGATCCAGTCTGGCACTGTGGTGTGCCTCAAAGCTCAGTCTGAGGCTATCAGGACTGAGGTAGGTCCAGCGTTGGGATCTGAAGCAAACTCCACTGCTCACTTCCCTCTCCAAACCCTATTCAGAAGATATTTCTCCCCACACTGTGCTTCCTGGTATCAGGTGATCTAGGTAAATTAAAACTATCATTCCTGCCCTCTCCGATGCATCTTTTATTATGTCAGTGCTACACCCACATGATGAAATCTCTTACCTGATTCCCTTAGCTCTTGTGAAAGTAAGTGATTTTCTATGAGGAAACAAGTGCTAAACAGTCCTCTTGCATCATCTTGTTGATGTCAGTAGACCAATTTGAAACTTCTAATTATTAGAATACGCAGCCCATAAGACACATAAGAATTATAGTAATTTCCACCAATTAAAGTATGAATAGTATAGTTACATTGCATTAAATTATTTTTAAAAATTACTTATTTACTTTTATTTATTATAATTACTATTACATTTTAATTTGCTACAGGGTACTTGTACTCACCAATGAGAGAAAGACAGAGAGATAGAGAGGCAAAGTGAGAAAGCAAGCTGCCAGTCTTGGACTTGAACTGGAGTAAACCATGTAGGGGTTCGGGTCGTTGACAATGAGTGAGCCCAGTGCATTACCACCATGCCACCTGCTAGCCCTTAACATTGCATGACTTTAGAAAGATAATTGGTTTGTTGATGATAACGTGTATAATATCATCAACTGGACTGCTGTGAAGTGTATTTATGTTGGGTAAATTCACTTTACAGGCTAAGTGATGCATAGTAACTGAATGTATAAAATCAATTAAAATTTAAAACTCAATAAATAAAACATAAAAACCTTAATTTGTGAGACCAGCAGTTAGCGTAATGGCTATGTTGCTGGACTCCCAAGTAGTCAACCTTGGTTTGAGTCCTAGACCCGGTGGCTTAAACTCACGCCAGGCGCATGTGTGTGCATGCCCAAGATCCTAAGGGGACAATGGAAGAGAAGGGATTGAGGTGTGGCCATCCCCCCTGAGGGGTGATTTCTCACTTTCTGTTTCTCTGTCTCTCTCTGTTTGACTAGCACACGTGCCCTATAGCAAAAACCTCTCCCCCCTCCCCAAAAAAGCTTAATTTGTTAACATAAAGAGTTAAAATATAATACATGCATAATTTTATCTTTTTTATTATTAAAATGGAACCTCAAAATGAAAGTGCTTAGGGCCTCTCTCTATGAGAAATGTTTCAGTTAAGCGATTTGATGATTCCCAAGCCAGAGGCCAACTGTCGAACCATGCATTCTTTATAATTTGCCCTGATAACAGTATTATAATGCCCTTATGTCTGGGCTCAGAAAAGACAGAAAAAAATTCAGAATGTCAGATCTGGGAAGCACCTAGATGTCATCTGATCCACTTTTCTTATTTATTGGCTCAGAAAACTACAGGAACAGAAAGGAGTTACTAGTCTTTGCAATATTTAACAAATGCAAACCACTTCTCTATAACTGCTGCATTTGTCAAAATTGTTTCTCTGGCTAGAACATGACCAAGCAAAGGGCTCAAACACCAGAGGATTCAATAGTCTTCACTTTCTCTTGGCACCAAAGCTTTTTCATGGCGTTCTTCATGTCTGTATTTCTCAGCGTGTAAATAAGGGGGTTAAACATGGGGGCAATCATGGTGTAAAACAGAGCAAATACCTTGTCATCACTGACAGAATCAGCCATGGGCACATAGGTGAAGATGAGGGGCAAGAAGAACATGAGCACTACAGTGATGTGTGAGCCGCAGGTGGAGAGGGCTTTGCGACGGCCCTCAGATGAGCGGGTCCTCAAAGTTATCAGGATGATGATGTAAGAAATTACCAAGGCAAGAAAGGTCAAAATAGATGACACTCCTGTGGTAGCAATGATGGTAATAATCAAGGCTCTAGTGTCAGTGCAGGCCAGCTTCAGCAAGGGAAATATATCACAGAAATAGTGGTCTATCTGATTGGGGCCACAGAATGGAAGTTCGGTAACAATTAATACCTGCAGGAGGGAGTGGATAAATGCTCCAATGACAGAGGCCAGAACCAAGACATAGCATGCCCGTCTGCTCATGATGACCATATAATGAAGGGGTTTGCAGATGGCTGCATAGCGGTCATAGGCCATGGCCACCAAGATGAAGATCTCAGTGGCACCAAAAAAGTGGGCATAAAACATCTGGGCTATGCAGCTATTGTAGGAGATGGAGTTCCACTGGGACAGCAAGTCCGAGGTGGCTGCCCCTGATGGTGAGCAGAATGAGCAGGTTTCCTGAGAGAACTACAAGATAGCAAAGCGAGAACAGCACAAAGCAGGTGACCTTCACATCCTCGTCACTGAAAAGTCCCAGGAGGATAAATTCTGTGACATTTTCATGTTTCATTGCTTCTGTGGGTTGGATAATTTGGATCTATTAATACATATACTTGAAATGCTAGACTTCTCCTGAAATTTTTTATTCATTTTCAAAATGATCTATTTAATTAATACGTATTGTTTATTATGATTCAATCAGTATATTGGTGATTATAGTATAGAAATGAATAAAATATATACAACATATACTCACAAATAGTGTGCAGTTCTTAGAAGTGACACACAATAGTTATGATAAGATAAATATCAAGTAAATGTAATAAACTATGAAGTCTCACACTTACTATGAACAGGGTACAAAGAATTAAAAAAATGTTTTAAGTTCAATGTTTACATGTAATGTTGGTATTATATATGAGATGTGCTTTTAAATCTTCCCAATATATAAAACAGCCATAAACTTATCTGTTGTTCAAGGGTAGGAAGGGCATAATAAACTCAGTATTTCCCAGTGACTAAAACTGTTCTAAATCCTGAAAGTTCAGTAATGTCCTTGAGCTTCAATGGGCTCATTATTTTAAGTACAGAAACTCTGGGTAACAAACTCAGAAAGTGCCTTAAGAAATTTATAAGGAATAGTTTTAAAAGTATAGACAGAAAGGGCAGAGGGTCAGACATAGGGGTAAATATACATATACCTTCAGGAGGGAGTGGATAAAAGCTCCGATAACAGGCCAGAACCAAGACATAGCATGCCCGTCTGCTCATGATTATCATATAGTGAAGGGGTTTGCAGATGGCTGCATAGCGGTCATAGGCCATGGCCACCAAGATGAAGATCTTTTTATTATTTTTATTAAGATTTTAATAAGATTTATTATTATTTTTTCACTTTATCTGTTTTTGCACTTTGTATCTCTTTTAATTGAAACACAGTTTATCCTTACTAGGCTTACTACACTATCATGGGACCAACTCTTTCTTAGAATGTTTCAGTAAAAAAGGAAATTTTTTTGTTGTCAAATACTATAATGCATCTCTTATTTATTTTCTTCAATGAGTAGCAACCTTATCTAAAATGTGTCACAATAATGCAAAACTCAAGGGTTTGTTTTAAAAAGAAAATGATAGACCACTATATATTGATAAAAATATGTAAGCATGCTTGTGAAGGAGTAAAACAGCAAAGGTAATAGCAATATTTACTATTACAAATGATAATAGTAAATCAGTGTGATATATTACTATTATTGAAAACTAGAGAGAAGCTTAAATGTGTTAAATGAATCCATATGGCTTATCTAACTTGTATAAAGCTTTAAAAATACATTGTTGAGCAGAAAACATAAAGTGTACAAATATGATCATGCTTACATTAAAGCACACATATACACATCCCCAAAGAATGCCAAGTAGTTTCCATGAATAGAGTGTGTATAAAAAGCAAAAAAGGTGGAATGAAATAAAATATATATTTGTGGGAAATTAAAAGGGGTGGTGGCTAAAGGGAACTATAATTAAAAATATTTTGATTTTTTAAAGACATTTTAAAATAAGATGTGTAATAAAAAATTTTAAAGTCACTCTTTTAAATAGGCTTAAGAACAGTCCATGACACAGTGTATGAAGTTTAAAAATATAAATCACAACTCTTGTCCTTCATAGGGATTCATAAATCATCTTCACTTATCTCCCTGTCGTTTTCTCAATCACCTGGCATTGAAATGAATGTAGATGTACATGCAATTCCCTAAGCATCATATTATGTAAATTGTCATATAAAATGAAATATCTCTAGATAGAAGCATCTCTGCCCTTCTCACACCACCAAATAGAAATGTTTTCCAAATGAATACCATAGTTTCTTTTACAAGTGTATCTGGAATTTGTTGTTGTTAATATTGCCATAGCATGCATGAGCTTGCCAGAGTGAGATAGAAAGAGAGAAAGGGAATGTAAGAAATAACTCCCCGCCCCATAGGGTGGATGGCCATAACCATAGTCCCTTCTTCTCTATTCCCCTCTTGGGATTTTGGGCATGTATTCACATGAGCCTGGCATAGTTTTCAAGCTTCCAGGTCCAGAACTGAAACTGCACAGTTGGCCATGTAGGATCCAACCACCCTAACCACCACGTGACTGACTGGCCCTGGATTTGATTTTACATAAGCTATTTTGATCAACTGGACTGAGATATGTTTATATTGAAATGTTCACTTTGTTAGCTAAATAATGTGATTGAATGTATAAAAAATTTTAAAATAAATAAATAAATTAATTAATTAAAAAAAGAAAAAGAAATTATAACTCACACACTGGGCACAAGTGCTCAGGATTCTGACTGAGGCAGGGGGTGGATTGCCCCATGCAGACCATAATCAGGATGCTTCTCTATCAGACAAAAAAGAAGTGCATAAACAAAATTTTTACAAAACATATTAACCTCCTTATATTTAAAAATTCCAAATAGAATTTGAATAAATTTCAAGATAATGTCTTCTATCTAATAGCTGATGTTCAGGACTCTGTTTATAATTTTTTTTCAGGGTCTCTTATTTTGCTGAGCTAATACATCTCCTATATTGGGTCATTGAAAAAGTCATAATGCATTTTTAGATAGAAAAACATATCACGACTTTTCCAATTACCCAAAAATTTTAAAGGAAGGAGAAAATAGATTTGTAACAGACCAAAAAGGAAGCTGCATATGTGGAAATGGATGTGCAAAATGTTACCAGCCACTGATGTGTGTGCACTAATTACATATCCCACTCTATGTAAAACTTCTGATCAACTACAATTATTTTCTCTGGAAGGCACAGAAAGGATATTAATGTTCACAGTACCTCACCACGACTTCTGAAAAGAAACAAAGAGGGAAAAAATATTCAGCCTCTGGTTTTCAGGATCAACTTGGCTTCTTTAGTCTCAAAGAAAGGTTTCTCTTAGAAAAAACAAGACTAATATTCAGCTCCTAATATATGATTGTTAATTGTATGCATTAGGAAGTCAAATTAGCAAGGCAAGTGAAGGTGCCTGAGTTAGTCCAGATAGGTTCAAATACATTAATTAATTAATTATTGAAGAATGATAAGCAAGTTATTTAACTTCTGACACTTGATTTCCTCACCTATAAAACAAAGACAATGAAACCTACCACATAGGATTCTTGTGAAAATCAAATGAAAATATCCATGTAAAACACATAGGTATAGATGTGTGTGCTTAAAGCATTGCAGTAAGTGTGTACTTATTAGCATTTTATTATTAATTTTTAAAAACTAATATTCTGTAAGTTTGTAAGATATTTGTAAAAAAAAAAGTTGTTCTTAGAAAATAAATTTTCTTCAGTGAGTTTAGCCTCTGACTGTAGTGTTCTCAGGAGGTTAAAAGGATTTCAATTACTACTCTCTATCGAAAATCCCAATCAAAAAGAATCTGAAGAAGATAGTATGTTCCATTTTACAGATGGAATAACTGATGTAAAGATAGCAAATTGATTCAAAAAAAAAACCTCACGTACTCTTAAAAAGTTCATCTCTCCTTCATACTTGAATCAAACAAGTCTAGAAAGCAATCAGTTTATCCCTATACTCTACTGGGAATATTTTGTAGTTCTGTGGAAGAATAGCCATTTATGCAAGAATAAACATTTATTTTATAGTTTGAAATTCCTGAACTATAATCACAAAAATTTCCCTCTAAATACCGCATTCAATTTAAGGTTGGAGATGGCCGTAAATTCTTACATGACTGTGAAACACTAAGGCAGGAAATGAAATCCTTATCTTGATATGCCACTGCCATTGCAATTTAAGAAAAATACCTAAAATTCTATGCACACTTAATCTTTTCTTTTTGAATCAAAGATCCTGTATTTATTTTTATATATATTTATTATTCACATTTAATCACTATACATCTTTACATGGGGCAATATGGTTTTTCTCAGCACTAATACAGTATCAGTCAAAAAAGACATTGCCCTATACATTATCATCAGCAAATAAATTTTCATTTCTGTATCAATAAAATGTATTGTTTATTTTTTTCACTCTTAGAATTTAGGAACTGTACTTTTTATGGACTCATCCAGCTGGGAAAATCTATTGTTTTAAAACTCATGATCTCTTAAATAATTTATCAATTAATTTATCAAAATTGTCAGTAAATTTTCTATCTTCTGTGCTTATTGCACAACTTATTTATTTTATATTTTAAAAATATTTATTATTTTAGACATTTAATAACTATATAATTATAAGGTAGAACCTGATATTTTGTTACACGTGTACATTATTCAGTGATCAAATCAGCACATTTAGTATATACACCATCTCAGACATTTATTGTTTCTTAGTGAGGAAGATATTAAAAATCTCCTCTTTCAGTAATTTTGAAATACATAATACAAAACTGTTAATATAATCTCTCTTCTGTGCAATAGCATAATAGAACTAATTTTATCTAATATTGACCCTGTACCTGTTGACCAGTCTTCAACCCCTGTCCATCCTACACACCCCAGCCTCTGGTAGCCACCATTCTACTCTCCCATAGAAGACCAGCTTTTCACATCCCACATGCTGGTGAGGATGTGAAGAATGAGAAACTCTTTTGTGCTGTTAGTGGTATTGTAAGTTTCTTATAGTCACTATGGAAAACAGCATGTAGACTTCTCAAAACAATGAAAAATTGAACTAGCATCTTATCCAGCAATCTCACTCCTGGGAATATTTTGAAAAGAAATGCAATCAATATGTCAAAGAAACACATTCACTCTCATGTTTATTTCAGCAGTGCTCAGAACAGCCAAGATAAAGAATCAACCCACATGTCCATCAAGGGATGAACTGATAAAACATGGCATATTTACAAAATAGAATATAATCTAGCCATTATAAAAATAAAATCATGTCGTTTGCAGGAACTTGAATAAATCTGGAGGACATTAAGTGAATTGAGCAAGGAACGGAAGCATTTATGGTGTTTGTCTTTTTTCCTCTCTGAAGCAGAGTGGAAGAATCCACGGTTTCTTTTAGCCTCCTGCCCCAGCATCTCATAGTC